TTCTCTAATATTGCTTAGCAACTCGTACGGCTGCTCACCAGGCGGTATCGCGGTCTAACCGAACCCTAACCGTACGTGTTCTAGCAACGACTTAATCGTCGTTATATGCGATAACTGATTACGCTTTTATAGCTAACCCTAACCCTAATCGAACCCAAACCAAAACCCGAACCCTAACCGAACCCTAACAGGCGGCACAAGGTATATTTGGCATATCACATGATGTTACATCATAGGAGATCTCCGATCGATTAGGTGATGTCATAGCCTAGACCGTCGCGTCATGCGCAGCCTGGACCATGACATCATTCATGGCAGATCATCAGCATTAGTCACAGCACGGGAGCTGTGCGCCGATGACGGGAACAGCATCAGTAATCAGATACTATTGTTAGAACAGCTCGAACAATAGCAGCCAATCGCGTATCCGCGATTGGATATCCCATGTAAGCAATGTTACGCATCGCGCAGGCCGTAGTTCCGGCCGCGATGCCGGGAAAAACCTTATCGGATGAACTATACAGGACCTGATGAGACTGTTAAAAGTCGAAACAGGATGGGTTGGAGTTTTTCTCCATCCCCTGTTGTCCTAGTTCGACTCCCCACTCGTCGTCGTCGTCGCACAACTCGCTTCGCTCGTTGTGCTCCTCCTCCCTAACCCTTTCAACGACTTGTCCTCCCAACAACGCACGCACCCCATCCATGTCGCCCACCAACTCTACCGCGTTCCCGCTCTCAGCTGCGCACGCCCGGGCTTTGTCCCCCGCAATTGCGGCACTCTCCCTCACGTCCTCGCCTGCTGCCACAGACGAGGATCGCGAAAGAGTGGCCACCTCGATTCGCCGCCACGCGTACGAGAAGGCAGTCACGGTGACGGATTTGTGTCACACAATTCCGAACAACTACCGTGACGCCCTGAGCGCGGACGTCCACTGGACGGCCGAGATCACTGAAAAGTTGGTCGCCGCTCGGTCGAGCCTCCGCAAGCTCGAGTCTGCCCTGGCAGACGGCAAAACCCCTCCGCACCTTCTTATGAAAGTGCCCGAACTCCAAGCTTGCAAGGAGTTTCGGACGGACGGAACCCTCGCGTCGTATGACAACGAGGTCCGGGCCTCCGTCGCCGCTGGTCAGAAGGCGGTGATGGAGGCGGCTATCTCAGCCAAGAAAGCCGAGATCAGCTTCCTGGAGGGTCGCATCGACCCGAAGTTTATCTTCGAGCGGTACAAAGACTCCGTCGCTAAGCGATGGGCCGATGTCCGCGCACGTTCTAAAGTACCCGTTACGTCGTATCGAAACGCCGAGGGGAAACCCTGCACCATCGAGCATGCAGCGGGGGTGCACGTGGATAAATGGGAGGTTGATCCCTCAGTCCTATCAGAGTTTAACTACCTGATCAGTGACCTGTACCCGATCGCTCGTCGCTGCATCACCATCGTCGAGATGCGCGACTTCGCAATGCAAGCGAAGATCGAGAAGAAGAAGGCCACTGAGAAGTCGGCTGACGTCGAGATGGCCGACGCGACCAAACCCGGTCCGTCGATCCAGAGCCTGGTAGACAAAGCTGTCGCCGGGCGCGTCAAGCCGCTTGAGGGGAAGCTGAACAAGGTACGATCTAAGATTGTGCCCTCACAGCACCGCGCGCTAACACGTGCACTTGCAGCTCTCGGTCAAGGGCGGCAAGACCCTCAACAAGAACCTCGTCGTGCGAAAGACCGTCGCGAAGGCGTCGACCAAGAAGTCGACGGGCCCCAAGCCGGGGCCTTCGAAGAAGACCACCCCCAAGCCGAGCGGCGGGAAGGACCCCAAGGGCAAGCGAAAGGCCGGTACGTATTCGGCCGCCCTCGCACCCTTCCCGACGCCGTATTAACTCTGACTCCTACCCAGGCAATTGAGTACGTGCTCCTGAACACCCCCGTCGAGGTGTTAGAGGCGTCCCAGTTCAGGTCGTACGTTCATACGTCACCTGGTGTAGTTGTACCGGAACGAATCGCATATGACTTGTCCGTCGGCTTAAAATATATGTATCACTCACAGCATTATACGTCGCTTATAAACGACGCTTGGAATGATTTTGAAAGACGTCTGAAATGGCGTATCATCTTCACTTTCAAAGATGGTGTGAATCGACCATATGATCCAGACTATGAAGTCGTCAATCCTTCTAAACCAAAGAAGAAGGCGCCTTTATTACCGCGTTGGATTGAACTCGGGTTCGAACATGGGCGGCGCTTCGTGCAACAAACGATCGCCAATATCCCTGCCGAACACGACCGTGGGCAACCAAGTAAATCGCTCGCCCCACGGCCTTCCGAGATTATGTCCTTTCTTAAAGAGCGCGACTACGTCGTCACTCTTACAGACAAGAATTTGGGACTCGCGGTGTCTGAGCGTACCTGGATCATTGATCAAACAAATAAGCTTTTAAGTAATCCTAACGATTACGAGCCATTAACGCCGGCTCAAGCTAAACGATTATTTGATCAGAAACAAACCGAAGTCAAGGCTATAGCGACCTTAACGGAAGATCATCTTGACTTGTACGAACTGAAAGTACACGAGTTCTTGCGCTCGAAATGTACTCAGGATGGCGCGGAGCATAAGTTCCCGCAATTTTATGGTATCCCTAAGATACATAAAAACCCGCCCGGATTCAGGCCAATTGTGCCGTGTTTCGGCGTCATCACCGGACCTTGCGGTAAATTTGTTTCTAAAAATCTTAAACCGCTCATTAAAGCGGCGCCAACCGTGATCCACGGATCCAAAGATTTGGTGTTAAAATTAAGTAAGCTTCGGCTCCCCGTTCCGCCGTTCGGCGACAAGTGGTATCTAGTCACCGGCGACGTCGTCGCGTTTTACCCTAACATTCCGTTAGAGCCCTGTATTGATATCGTTTACAATATGTGGCTCGAACATACATTTGATGCTATGGAATTTAACGCGACGGACGAAGAAAACGGAGTATATCTCGGGTACCTCGGAAGTCAACACAGATTACTCGCGCAAATATTCAAACGGACGCTACTAGTCAGTAGTACGAAGCTTGTATGTCAGTTTCAAGGGCAGCATTCTCTACAAAAACGGGGCCTCGCTATGGGCGTCCCGGAATCTCCAGACCTGGCTAATCTTTACGGTTACCACTTCGAGAAAAAATGCGACGTCCTTAACGATCCTAAAATCACTTTTTATGGTCGTTACATCGATGATTGCTTTGCTATTGTTAGCGCCGCGAGTAGCGAAGCGGCGCGCCAATACATGGCAAATAAAGTACAATTCGATGGCTGTCAAATTCTGTGGGAAGTATCGGCACAGCGGTGTAACTTTTTAGACGCCACCTTCTATTTCGGACTCGATGGGTCTTTGCAATGGAAAGCGTATCGCAAACCGAACAACCACATGGAGAGAATTCCATGGATATCTGGCCACCCCCTCGACGTTAAGCGGGGTACCTTTATAGGCGAGATGTCGCGTTTAGCAACGCTTAGTAGTCTTTTTCCGAGCTACTTAGACAGCGTGAGGGAGTTAGTTGCCCTTTACGTGAAGCGTGGTTATCCGCAAGACCTTGTTGCTAATTGGGTTAAGAAACACCTTAAAGAACGTTGGGAAAAGCGTCTGAGTGAGAAAGACGAAACGCGCACTGAAAGCGACGTCCTTGTTCTTAAGTCCCAATACAACACGGCCTGGAATTATTTCAATGCCAAGGAACTTGGAGACACTATTTTAGGATACTGGCGGGATTGGCACGAACGTGCCGACCGCGGCCTCAATACTTATTATACAAATATTGAATGGCCACGCCCTACCCGGATCTGGGAAGGTATCAAAGACGTGGATTCCGCCCTCCAAACGGAGGTGTCGGATACCGTCGGTGGTACCATCCTAATACCGGATATGCGAAAAATCGGTATTCTTAACAGACGAGTAATTGTGAGCCGCAAACGCGGCCGCAATATGTTCGACCTTACCAATCTTTGGAAGAAAATAGTTCTCGAAAAGCTCGATGAAAAGGTTAGCGAAGAGGAGATAAGCACCCCTCTCGCGCAACCAACTGCTACCGCCGGACCGTCCGGTTCTTATGACATACGATCTTATTTCGTAGACCACCGTGAGAACATGCACCGGCGTTCACCGTCCCCCAATAAGCCCCAGTTCTAGTTGCGTGCTTGCGCAGCGGGTGCGCCGGGGTATGTCGCGCAAGCGA